AATTTAACCAAGTTTTACTTTTACCATTTAGACGTCTGTCTAAACTCTTGATTTCGTCCAGCAACCTTAATTATAATGATATGATTTGTATATTTTATTAAATTTTCTCATAAGAGTTAAAGCATCGGGTCTTTTCAATGGATCAGTATTCTAACATTTTACCATTAATTTCTTATATTCTAATGGAGTGTCTGAAACTATATTTAATCTCATTCCATTTATTATATTCATTACATGATCATAATTATGATCGAAATAAGCAAACGGTGGTTGTCCAGATGAAATCTCCCACATAAGCATTTCTATACTGTAAATATCTGATGCTTTACTACTTTCTTTTTCAAAAATAACTTCTGGTACTATATAAGGAAGATTTCCATATACGCTTTTTAAAGGTTTATCAATAGGTTCACAAAATCCGAGATCACTAATTATCACTCATTGGTATACTTTTGATATAATATATTTCCCGAATGCAGATCTCTATAAATGGTATCCTTATGATGAAGATAATAAATATCATCAATTATGATTTCAGCAATATAAATTCTTTCTTTCCATGTAAGTTGTTTATTATTTTGTTGTAAATAGTTTATTAAATCTATATCAAGTAAACTTATTACTAAAAAATAATCTTTTGTTAATAGATCCTGAGTAATACCATAACATTTAACTAATTCCGCTATTTTATTGCTTAATGTTAAATGAGAATATGCTTATAAAAGAATTAATATATTAGCATTTGCATGATATAACTGAATATTTAAAATATTTTATATCTCTTCAAACCATCTCCTCTTAGCACTTTCAACATTCTCTAACCTTTTAAGTATTACATCATGTGTTCCATATCTGTTTAATTGCTGCGTATCAGAATCTCAATCATCAAAGCTTCCTCCAATCCAATATGCCGTATATATTTCAGAACATCCACCTTTAGTTAAATATTTTATATTTTGTAAATTGTTATGTGGGATTCAATTATATAATTTTGAAAAATTGTTTCAATTTGACATTTCTTTATTAATTCATCAATTTCATTATTTCTGGATGTTCAATTTGTAAATTTTGCTTTTAAATAATTTCAAATACAAAATTCACAATATGATATTGCTAAACATTCTTGTTGGCAGTTCTCACAAATTCTTTTCTTTCCTTGATTATATGTAAATTTTGTTCTTTCATAATTATTTAATAACAACTTTATTACCTCCGATTTTTCATCATCTGTAAAAGATTTATCAGCTATAATTGTTTGTTGTCTCAATTCAAACTCTTTGTATATGTCAGTCTTACGTATTAATGTAATTACTTTATCATATTGATTATTAACTAATTCTCTACGAATAAATGTTATTGTGGCAATGGAATAGGAGAATAAAACAATTACGTAAATAATCTACATAAACTTTTTACAATTTTTAATTTTAAATGTTATACAAGGAGGTTTTGAGCCTTTTGAAAAGTTAAATTCTTGATTGAAATTTGAAAAATTTAAGATATTTATAGTTTTTTTTTAATAAACCCTTATCACACCGTTTCGAAAAATTAAAATTATTTCTAAACTGATATATGGAATTCTAAAATGAATCCAATTAAAATTTCAAAGAATTCTTAACTTTGAAACAGGAAAAAAATAAATGGAAAATCGATTTATGCAGATACAAAAGTGGTGTTATGGTGTAAAAATTCGATAAATATTTTGTGAGTATTGCTCGAGTTAGTGAAATTTTACCATTAATAAATGCATTGTTAATACAAAAATGTAGTATTTATAATAATTAAAAATCGCCAGTAATAAGGAAATTTTTTAATACAAATAGCATTTGACTAATCCATACAACATTTGCGGAAAGAAACTATATACAATGTACATAATATATTACAATTACCATTCATCAAAAACGTTCTTTCGTCAAAAACTACTTTGAAAAGCTTAAATTTCTTGGACAGTATATATCAAAATTATCGTTAAAAGAAGAAAATCCAAAATGCGACATTAATGCTTACAAGTTGCATAAAAAAAAGCGCCCAGAATACATGATAAATTCTTGCGAATATAAGTAGCATGAATTTAAATTGATTTTTAAATAATTTAATCTTTTTTGCTAGGATATAAGAATCTAAATGTAGCATGAAAGATTAATTTTGTAGTATCAACTATTGGAGTCAGAGTCGATGGCTGAGTCGACTCTACAAAAATCATTTAGAGTCAACTTCGAAATTTTAATGACTGAGCCATAACTGAGTCGCTGTTCCAAATTTGATATAAGATTAGAAGATTGTGAAATTTTTAATTAAATAAAACTTCAAATTTTTAGTCAAATGGGATTCTTGTCAACATTATTTATGATGAAACTTATAATTATCTATCTTTTTGCAACATTAATTAAATTTTAAAATTTTTGAATTTTAATAATACAATTATCGTCGCTAATTTCAAATGAGAGTCTCGTCAATAGCTGAGTTAACTGAAAAGTCTCTAACAGCTGACTGAGTCGACTCCAGAATTTGTCATGACTGGTACTACTATATTAATTAAATATATTTGCAGTACATTTTACTAAACTCTGCTATGAAAGTAAACTTTGTGTCAAAATAATAGTTGTTACTAATAAAATATGTGATTTGTAAATTTTAATTTTAAACATTCAAAAACAGAATTATAATTATGTAATACTGTTTTCATCTATACCTTATAAAAATCAAGTTATGAAGTATTGAAAAGTATGGATATCAATTGTGTTAAAGAACTCCAATAAATACACAACCAAAAATAATCGGTTGAATGAAAAATTATATGACTTCTAATTTGATTATATCTGGATATCTTTAATTTATTTGCGATAAATAACTTATCCACAAAAATTTGCAAATCCTTAAAATGATAATGTTATAGTAATTGTTTTCATTATGTAATTGTAATAGAATTTATTATTTTGATGCGATATTGCTATTATATCAAGTGAAAATTAATATATGGGCTATTTTGCAGTAGGAAAGGAGAAAACTCTAAAAAAATTTTTTTTCGAGTTAATGTTAAATCTGGACTTATTTTATTACTTACAAAGTAAAAATTTGATTTTTTCATAGTTTTCTCTCTTTCTATTGCAAAGATCAGAATTTGTTTTAAAAGTCGAAGAAATATACATGTAACCTATACAACATAATCAAAGAAATAAATGAATGAATATTGAAATTAAATGAATTCAAATCCAAAGTATCGTATATGAAGCAATTTTATCTTTATTTATTATGACATCATTTCGCGTGGCAGTGAATTTAGTGAATTTTTTTTAAATTCAAAAATCCTTTAATCATGCAGTTGCTATTATTAGAAAATTTTTAGAGATAAGAAAGAATGAAAGCACTTTCTTGTCATTATTTTATTAAACCTCTGTGTAGAATTCACTTGAAGAATTCTATTTGCTTTATTGTATAGAAATTGGTTATAAACCCTAAAAATTTATTATATTTAACATTATTTAACAAATTTGGTGATACAAATTTTTAAATTTCATGCATCTAACTAATATAAAGAGAGTTCACTCTGAGTCTTACATAATAATATATTACAAAGAGGAAGAAAGGTGAATTTTATAATCTAATAGGTACAATTATTATATTTAAGTATTTTCCTTCTAGCAAAATTAGCTCTTTTACCTAGTGGTTGGAATTAGTTTTATTATTACAAACTGGTTTAAATTGTCATTCTGAAAATTGAACCTAATATAATTCAGTTATAAAAAAAACCAGCTTCAACCGATTAATCGGTTATATTTTATTTTAATGTACTAAACATGCATTCTTGTTGATTTAAATTTTATACTCACCATATGAATATAATTTAACCAATTATTAATAAATTCTATGCTCTATATTTATATGATTTTGACTTGAAAAAAATAAGCTTGAAAAATCAATTTTCTGTCACCAATAATTTTCAAATTAAACTTATCAAACGTATGTGAAATTTTTATTTATGATAGTGATATAGTGATACAGTAACATTTCACAAAGGCACAGACAAATTTATTAAATAAAACTGGTTAATCAGTTTCCAATCTGGTTATAAATTCGAACTGATTAGAACCAGTTATAAATCTGATTATGATGACGCGTTTCACCTATCCTTCTACTCGTAATCCTATTCTTACTCTCAAACCTTTCAATTTTGTTTTTTGGGTGCAAATGAACTTAATAAACTTTATAATCGCTTATTTCAAAAGTTTCCTCATACTTTCTAATTAATTTTTCGTAATGTTTCTTATAGCATTGTCCTTTATTGATCAAATTAAAGAGTAGATATAAATCTGAAATTCCAAACGTTAAACCGTTTTCTGGCATAAAACTAAATGAAACACTTTTTTTTACTAAATATGGAATTTTCTAGATTGTTTCTATTTAAAGAAAAAATAAAACTTTCTTTATCACTTCCAGAAACAGGAGGAATAGGAAAAGGAACTGGAAACACACAAACTGAATTGGTTTGAGTAGATGCAATTAAATAATGAGGATAATATATATCCATCATAGAATTTGGAACAGATTCTTCAACTCTAGATATCTAATTTGTTGGATTAAATCCTCTGAGTATTTCATTAGTATCTTTAACGCAAGCAATAGTAAGGGTAGATCCTTTATTGCTACAATTTTCATAAAAAGTTTTTATATCAAAACTATTATTGCTTCCGTATACTAGCAATTCAAACTTAATAAAGGAATTAAGAACATCTTTTTTCATCATTTTAATAAAATTCACAAGTAAAAAGGCTTGTTCAGAATTAATAAATTTATAATCGATTTTCATTTTAAATCTTGAATGACTATTGTCATTAAAAGAATAAAATTCAAGGAGTTTAACATAATATTCAATATTAAAAATTTCTTTTAAAGATTTAATCTTTTGAAAGAAATCAGCAGGATGAATTTCTTTAAAATCAATATGTGAGATAAATGGTTGAATTATATTCCCAAAGGTAGAAACATTATCAGTGATCCACTTTGTGATTTCTAATAGTAAATCATTAGTATGTGTAATTGCCTACTCTATAAGCTTGTTCCAGATTTCAATCTGTTTCAAGAAATGATTAGATCCCATAATATCAATAAGTACATCTTGCTTAATAATTGTGAAATCTTTTGCTTTGAAAATTAATGAAGAATCTTGTTGAAAAGTATCTTGATAAAACTTAAATAATTTCATAAAATGACTGAATTGATTTGTGATTTGATGAATAAAAACGAAGTTTTGTTTTAACAACTCTTTATTTTTAAAAAGATTTTCTTCAATATATGCATACAAGTCATTAAGACATAATTTATCAGCTGCAATCAAAAGCACAATATTTGTTCTGATATCTTGTTTTGTAGAATTGATAGTCCCAGCTTACATATACCTAGTGAAGGTTTATTTTTTTTTTAAAAAAAAGATTGTTTATATAGGGTTTATATAATAGATGAAATTATCTAAATTGAACACTTACTCAACAAGAATATTAAAAATTCATTCTAAAGGGAATATTTGGTTTTTGGAGATTGATGATGTCATTTTTAGTTCGTATCTAATTTTCTGATAAAGCGATACGAAAGTAGGGGGATCTAATTTTTAATACAAATGAATGTAGATGAAGTACTTTGGAGTCAAATCCTTCTCCAACTAATATTTCTGTATCGGAAAATTCACTAATTTTAAATATATTAAATATAATTCTTGTATAAAAATTTTAATAATTTATCAGATATTATTTTTGAAAAGAATAAGAAGACTTTTAAATAATAAATAATTGTCATTCAAATTCAATGATTTTCCTTTTATTTCACAAGTAGTATAAACACATAAAATCATATTATAATTAAATTTGTTTATATAATATTAATTAAAAAATAGGTAAGACAAAAAGTAGTAGAGTATGGTCAATCAATTAAGTATTATATAGTATATAATTAATGTTAAGTATAACCTTTTATACTTAATTACTAGGAGTTAACATTAATATTGGTAAGTTAAGATTAGTTTAAGGTTATATTAGGTCTGTTTAGTATTACAAAAATATACTCAAAACCATTTCACGTGATAACTATACTTATTTAATCAACCATACTCTACTACTTTCTGTATTTCTCTTGATAAATTTGTCTCCGTTATACTAGAGCTCCTAATGAGTCGAGTCGATTCGAGTTTTAAAGATAACTCAACTTGACTCAAATTTTATGAGTTGAGTCGAGTAGAGTCAAAAATTTTTAAAACTTTAACTCAACTCAACTCGAGTTATATTATAATTTGACTCGACTCAACTCAACTCAACTCAATTTAAGTTATATTAAAATTAAACTTGACTTTATTCAACTTAAGTTATATTTAAATTGACTTAATTCAACTCAATTTAACTCAAGTATTATTTAAATTTATTCAATTTAATTCAAATTATTTAGTTTAAAAATATAAAAAGATAAAATATTATTTTATTATTTAATTTAAAATTTA